CCCTTGATAATTGCCAAAATTGTGATAATGTATTTTCAATGTTTTGTTTACATTTTCTACAGAAATTTGGGTTACAGAGCAGCTAATACGGCAGCCCGAGTTAGCGGCATGATCGCTCCATACATATTTGCAGGGGTATGTCCATTGTTCAATGAAGTCCTTTGAACCACTTCCGTGAGGCTATTTACTGACTAAGACGTCGGACATTCTTATCAACTATAACCTCCTTCGTACAGAAGGGGCAAAAAACGCAATTCGTTGTGCAGAGTTGTGTTCCTTGGACACGCCAGGAACTTAAGATCCTAGGTTTGAAACATGGTTTGCCCCTATTATTTTTCTAGGTTCGTCAACTTGTGGTAAACGACTCAGACCTGCATCACCTCGGGGTTTCCTCCTACATTAAGCGTTGTCATATAACTGGAATACTGTTGTAAGCAGAAGTCACTCTTCCGAGTCTAGTTATGAAAGTGACATTTTGTTTTGCGTAAGATCTAGTAGTTCTATTTATATGGTGTTGATGAACTGAAATGACAATTGGTATTCAGGCTTTTTTAATTTGGAATGATATGAATGATACTCAGCTCCGTCACCAGGTGACTGTCATTCCATTTTGACATAGGAAAAAGGCTGTTGAGGGGTAAAACCAACACTTGAACGTTGCATGATTCAGTGATGGCGAAAATGGGCGAAACCTACTTGAATGAAAGCATCTCTGTGTGTGTCATGGTTCTGTGTCAGCAATGTTCTTGACAATGTTTAATGTTCACTGACTAATAATTCAGCTCTTACATACCCCACTCACCACGTGCTCCTACAGCTGTGCCTTCTCCTGCTTCTGATCACACTGACCAATCATCTGTACTCTCTACTAATCCCTTACATGGTAGTGCTCCTCCATCTTGGCCCGTGGCACCGGGTGATCACAGTGCTGCACAAGACGATGTGACACACACAGGGAATTTATTAAGATTAATGATGCCAGCATCGTGTTACGGGTTATAGCCATTACTTGATGTCCTTTGCAAATCGCAAAGTGCAAAAGAGGGCATTTTTCCTGGAAGACATGCATTGTCTGTAAACTGAATTACGTGAAATGAAATGTTATTGTTCGCATGATTGAACATTATTAAAGCTGTAGCATGGCAAAAAGTAGCCAGAACAACCTGTTTCTTGCGGTGCATGCACATATCTGACATTTTGTATTTCCTCAACTATACAATGACTATGACGTGTACACAGTTTGTACGCTACCATAATTTAGGAATATAATAGGGTGCATTCGATATTGATCAATGTTGCTTGTACACATTATCAAATGCACTTCAATCAAACTAAGTAGGTAGGACTGTAATATACTGTAAATATACTGTGCTGCAAAAGAAACGTCACCCCAAGTAACATTGCATGAAAAGTTGTCATTTAGATAGCCGGGCATTTTTTGTCCAAGTTTCTAAAATTTAACATTTCCTTGTCCGGAAACATGAAATTTCATGTTAGAAAACAAAGTACGCATCACGGCAACGGCCATGGTAACCAGATGTACGTGAGTTCCGTTGAAATGCACATGCATTCCCCCATTTCTTGCCCTTATAAAAATCCACCCAGATCGGATAACATTTATTCGTTATTGAATTGCTACCACATGCCAAGACTGACAAGAAATCAGCGACACCAAGCCCTTGGACTATTGCAAGCTGGACAAACCACCCGGCAAGTAGCCAATGCATTTCAAGTCCACGTAAGGACCATATAAAGGCTCCAGCAACGGTACCAGACCACCAGCACTACAGATGACCGACCACGTAGTGGAAGACCAAGGGTAATCACGCGACGTCAGGATCGTCAGATTGTGCGACAGCATCTTCAAGATCGCTTTGTTACTGCTGCAAAACCACTCGACAGACCATGGGGACATACCAGCGACACATTAGTGCGGACACCGTAAGTCGACGATTGACGAGCAGACACCTCCACTGTCACAGGCCACACCGAGGACCCATTCTGACACAACGTCATCGCCGGGACCGTCTTCAGTGGGCATCACAGCACCAGCATTGACGCCACCAGCAGTGGGGAAGAGTCCTCTTCTCAGACGAGTATCTCAACAGCAGATGGCAGAGAGAGAGAGAGTCTGGCGAAGCCGTGGGGAACGTTATTCGGATGCTTGTGTCGTTGAGAGAGACTCGTGGGCTGATCCGAGCATCATTGTGTGGGGTGGAATTGGTCTTGGACAGAGGGTCGGCTCTGTGGTCTTCCAGAACATCGGTCTAGGGAGAGGCAATGGTGTCACAGCAGCTCAGTACATTGATCAAGTCTTGAGACCACACACCATACCTCATCTGGCACGTCGCCGCAACCACGAGTTTCAGCATGATAACGCCCGTGCCCACACTGTGAGATCAACAAGAGACTTTCTCTTGCAGAATGGCATCAGAACCATGCAGTGGCCTGCCCTCAGCGCCGATTTAAATCCCATTGAGCACCTGTGGGACGAGATTCAAAGACGGTTGAATGACCTCCGACCAAGGCCGACAACTGCAGCTGAACTGCGCAAGGCGTTCCTCAGAGTGTCGGCTCATGTGCCTCTGGCCTTCATCAACAGCCTCATCCATTCCGTGTATCGACGTTGCACGGCAGTCATCAGTGCACATAAAATCATTGTCCCCCCGAAAGAGTACGTAAGTTCCACATCATTCAAAGTACATTTGGGTTTACCCCATTTTTAATCGTAGAATATTTGTTATTTTTAATTGATAGCTACAGTTGACTATACTCGCCAGTGGCTGAAGGCATGGTGTAAATCCTGCTGGGAAGCCGTGAAGGAAGCAGAAGTATTGTAAGTCCCCACGGTCCCTAGTATGGTGGCCTACCTTTGGATGCTGGCGATCTCAAGCTCGTTTTTATCATGTATTGTTATGTATCGTAATATCATTTTATCGTCCCATACTTGTTTTAAATATGTCTGTGACACTTTAGTTATTTTACTGTCCTTTGCTGTAAGGTATTTTAGAAAGTTTACACATATTTCGTATGTATGTTTAAATTGTTGTAGTCACGATGTGGCTGAAATACTGCCGATGTGACTGTAAATCTTAACTCACTCACTCACTCATCGGTGCACATGGCGGACACACGAGAAACTGATTTGTGACGCCATTTTCTCAGAGATTAGTTAAGTGTTTAACTTTAAGAACATCACACACTTTAATTTCAACCTTGATGATCAGTTTCATCTTTTTAATATGTCTCAAAGTATGTTTACAGTGTTTGGACAAATAAGGTTTCTAATGTATCTATCCATGGTGACGTTTCTTTTGCGGTCAAGTATATTATAACACTATCACAACATAATGTACAATGAAGTGAGTGGTATTGCTGTATTTAAGAATCTAGAGGCAGTAGTTATTGACATGCACGTCGCTATATAAGTGCAATAAACGCGACGTTAAACCCTATTTCACCTCTGTCTGTCTGTCTGTGGATAGAACCGTCTTGACAACGCACACACTGTTAAATTCAAAGCGATGTATAAAGGACATCTGATCCTTTGGGGGCCTCAAGAGAACACTGTCATCATGACACGCTGACCTTCTCACACACCGCAGCAGGTCTGAATGAAGGTTAAGAGCACAGCTATTAGCTCATATTGCCAAGCACGTTTCAAGATTTGTGTCATTTTTAGCCTCTGTTGCAAACGGTTATGACAGTTGTTAAATTAGTTTTAAGGTATGTATGCGATGGAGACACGTGATCACGATTCACTCTGACTATGCTTGTCCAACACAAAACCTGTTGATCTTGTTATGATTTCTTGATTCAAGGCTTATTCTGACGTTTTGATTGCAGATTGGAGGTTCACTGTTAACAAAACTGTATATTTTCTCCGTGTGTTGTATAAAGGTGAGTAATATTTGTTTTTATTGCTTCGAAAATACTGCAAAATTGTTTCTGAATTCCCAAAACGTATTTGACCTAATAATGCACGTAAAGGTTTTACAACACCATTAACCTCGTGCTGCGCCTTTTTCAATCAACACATGACTACCCCGTTGTTCCTTTGCAAACAGTGTAGACGCTACGGTGACAAGGATGCACACGGACGACATCATCGAGGCCGTCGGGGGCATGTCCCGCTTCCAGATTCTCATGGTTGTCTTCATATTCGGTCCAAAGATGTTGGTGGCGTGGGGGATGTTGATGATGTCGTTTGCGGTGGTGTGTCCCGGCAACAGCGCCCTCTGTTGATGAGACCTCTGACATGAACAACGTCACATTCAAATTTTGTCCCACCTCGGACAACATAACCTGTCAGGTTGTGTACAGCCAGGATAAAAACACTGTCGTCAGCGAGGTAGGTAACCATAATTCAGTCCCTTTTAATTTACTTATTGCAACCGTGTAACATCTAAGGCGTGGGAGCAACCCACACTTGTGTACCCCGCACCTTGTTGCCACAGGAATGAGTAGTCTGTGTGTCCTAACGCCCCATGACGACCTATATCTGAGATCACTGCATCTCCGTAATCACTTCCTGACGTCACCATTTGAAAATGTGTTGGGTCATCGGGTGAGCCGACAAACCGTTACCATGAGACTCTTGTGAAGAGTTGAAGTACGGCCCCGTCTTTTCGTCTTGTTTATCGTATCATTGTTTTGTACCATTGGTTATCATACCAAATATAAACAGCCTGATATAACTGTTACATTTTGAGTGATGACATTCATATCTTATGGCCGCCAATTTAGTTCTAATGCGTACACCCGTCCATACTCAGCCTAGCAACATAATCAAATGAACTTTACACCATCTGTTTATGTAAATGTATACCACAAAGATACACATGACAACGAAATAGGTGCTTGTACCTTGGTACAGTTGAACAACTAAAAACTGCCATATTATCCTCATTACAAATTACAACAATTCCAAATTATCTCTTGCAGTGGGATCTCACATGTGACCAGAATATTATATCAAGAACATTATCACATCAGTGCAAATGGCCGGAGTGTTTTTCGGGGCATTGACAGGCGGACAGGCTTCTGATGTCCTCGGTCGGAAGCGGACTTACTTCGTCTGTCTGGTCCTACATGGTGGGTTCAACCTGATGGCAGCGTTCTCCGTCAACTGGCAGATGTTTACAGCGTTGCGTTTTCTCATCGGGATGATGATTGGCTCTCTGACGGTGGTAAACTACCCGTATTTCATTGAGTTCGTAGGAAGAAAATGGCGACCAATTGCCTCATCATTGCCTGTCTTTGGAACAGGTGTATGTGCATTTGCCCTGTCCAGCTGGTTGAGGCCTGACTGGTCTCGTCAACACATCATAGCGGCTGCCCTTCATCTGCCCTTCTTTTCGGGTTGGTTGTAAGTATCCCAAAATTAAGCCTGAGAAATTCAAAGAATAACATTTACATAGTGATTGCCAATATTTAAATTCTTAAAGTTTCTCTTAGGTCTTGCAACATAAATATTGATAATATAGTAAAGGCAATTATCTAATGGTTACCAACAGAGATTCAGTCCCTTGTGCAAATAAAAGTGACAAAACTCCTCCCATATACATATGATATCTCTGCAAAAAGCAAAGTCCGTTGCACAAACTCGGAATACTTCATGAACATGCGTATATTAATCACTATCAAACAGGGAAGACACCAGATGTTTGCACTACAGGTGGCACTCGTTACAAACACATGCAAGGCAAGACAACACAGGGAAAACACTAGAATATATGGCACAAGTCAATGCCACCAAATTGCACCACAGCAGCATCTTGAAAACGTTTACAGCGCCGCCAGTAAACAGGCCTATGTTTTATTTACGGAAAATTATATTATTGTGACCAAGCAATGACACAACAAAATAAAGTTCACAAAACTTTAATGCAAAAAATATAACAAGTTTGTTGTAACAATTTACATGGAAATAGTCTAAGCCATTGGCATACCCAGGACTACTACTACTCACTCATATAGAGAGCACAGAGTAAATGCAACGTGCAAAGTGAGTCGTACTGCAATAGCTTGGAGATTGGTATTAAGAGACACAATACTGTGAATCACATCATGTCGCACCAGGATGGAAGATCCTTCGGTGGCTTTAACACCCTTAGGAGAATATGAATGATATAAACTATACTGACGGACGTAAAATGTATTGATTGTTTTAGATATGTCTCCTGAAGACAAATTTCTGATGGTTTAAAATCTTGTACCAATAATTGAATTTCAGTAAGATTGATCCATAGACCCCTGCAATTCCAATGAATTAGGTAGTCAGCATAATACATGTTATAGGAAGTGGAAGTACAGGGGATTTCCCTGTCCGAGGTGTCTGTTGTGCGCACAGGGATGAGGGGAAACATCCATGTCTTCCAGTAACTGGAATTTATTGTATAGCTGCACAGGGTCACGTAAACCCTTGGGGACTCGATCAGATTGTTTCAAGTAATCAACTTTCTGACAGGCATTTACTGTCTCTGTACTTACTCAGGTGATATCGTTCTGACATGTAACAGATTTTACTGATTTGGTTAAAGGGCAAGAAACAACTGCAGAGTATGACATACCGGCTGTTGGATGGGAGGTTGCTTTTACTACAAGTTTTGCTTCATGATATGTTATAGTGCGTTGAAGTTTGAGTTTGGCAATCTCATAATCATGCTTCCAGATGGGACGTCGTTGTACACATATGCTCTCCAAACCAATTGACACATTTTAGAGATGTCATGCAATCCGTACCGTCGTGGGCAGCTGCACCACATCGAAAGCATGTCGTATGATTTCTACAAGACTGGGCACCATGGCCAAACGTTTTGAAACAGTGATGTGGATTAGGAATATATTGTTCCACTTCGATATCGAGCTTTGATTGATTAAGGGTGTTGGGGCTGTGGAAAAGAAAGTAAGTCGGTATTTGTTTTTACAGTTTCACCATTTCTCTTTGATGTAAAACGTTTGACTTTCGTTACACTCATATCAGAGAGCCAATGGTCCCTGTATCTAATGATGCCTTCACTACTGTTCAGAGACTTGTGTGGTGAAACCGAAACTTTGGTATTGACGAGTTGTTTTGTGGCTAATAGCATATTGCAAATTGCTTTGCTGTTTTACACTCTATGAGAAGTAAGCCAGACAAAATATTCTTAACAGTTTGCACATCACCATTGATATCATAAATTGCATTTAATGTTGTAAACGGGTTCAGTTTTAGTGGTTCACCATCAGTGATGCCACCAAAAATCTACTCAAACAATGAGAAAATCTGTTTGATGTATTGTCTTCATTAGAGGACAAACATTCATGCAATGCTCCTTTGTGTTTTTTTGGTTGAGCCATGGTTAATAATAGAAGGTTCACCATCTCAGCTCCTCACCGCCCACAGAGTATCATAAAGACAATGCCAAATACCAGTGGATCTTCAGCTGGTAGCACCAAGGATACTGAGATGGTACACTCAAGCAGACTAATTAAAAATTAATCAATCCACCAGATTGGACACAGGACTGTAGGCAATGCAAATGATACATGTAGTTCAAAATCAAATGGTGTTTTATAAACAATTTTAGCCAAGACCTAAAATGTATAGACAAGTAAAAATTACAATTTGTGCAAATACAATCAATGCACAGGGCTTGGCATGACCAGCTGATTGATAGAACTGGGCCCATGTTACCACCCGTCTAGGCAAAGTAAAGGTCAAAGTAGTGTGTTGGGCAAAGGAACGATGTTCCTGGAACCAGTGCCCTCAACTACCAGACTCCCTTCCTCCAACGAAACAGGGACGCAACCAAGGGCAAACAAGTTGCCCAATTTAGTCGCCTCGTACGACAAGCAATGGGGTGCTGAGGACATATTCTACCCCGGGTCATCATGGGGGAAGAGCGATTAGCAATACCCAGCACTCACCACGTTGAGGTTGCTCTTCATGAGTGTCTGATCATCAAGAGCTAGTAGCAGTTCTTCACACTTAGTCTGTTTCTGTGTTATGTAACAATTGGCTTCACTCTTGAGAACACTCTTCCACTGTAGACATGGATGATAGAAGCAAAGACATTCAGCAGCTTAACAATTCATTGATACAAGTTACCCAGTTGTTTGAGGCTTGTCAATGTTTTGAGCATGGCTGAATGTGAGCAGGCATCAGCATCCTCAGAGAGGAGATCCTTTTTGGAATCAAATGTCAATTTGTGGCCTGCATTTTCCTTTGAAAACTATCTCAACTATTTTCGGACACTGTAGGGGTTTCGGGATCAGTTGCCGAACAAATCTGGTCTTCAAATGAAACTGCTTCTCAAAAAGGAACTTTTTATGGAAAGCTTTTGAATAAAGCAGCATGAGCCAAAAGATAATTTAGGAAAAAAATGTTACACTTGTGGACATTTCTGCTCTTGTAACCTATTTGAAAACGGACAAAAGGCAAATGTAAGAAAAGTCAGAGCAGGCCTCAAAAAGGGCAGGGCGCTGCGCGTGCTAAACACCCCTAGGCAAACAGTATGTTTATAAAAGACGGTGAAATTGAATCTAAGAACATGCCACTGTGGCATTCCAAAACCGATGTGGTTGCAGTCAAGTCGTCATCCTTCAAATGATGTGGCAGGGTCAGGCTTCTCGTTGTCCGAGATGGAGTTTCGTTAAAAGTAATATACTGACGTCACACATATAGCGCGAGGTCAGTGATCTATAAAATAGTGGTTTTGGTATAATATTATATTATGCTAGATAACATTTATACACATAGTATTATTCTTTTCACACGGTCTTACGTGCTGTATTAGTGCAATTATTAAGTCTGTAATAGCGATTAGCACAATGTTTACATTATACGTGATCGATTGTTGCATGACATCACATGTAAAAGCCCGCGAATAGGTTTCAGTGATGCTAATATCATTGAATGCTTATATAATGGAAAGAAAACACAGGCATTCAATAACTTGAGCAACAAGTCATGAGCGAATAATCATGAACATAACCTGTATGATCCACCTAACACAGAAGAAGCACGAAATTCGGAATCCTTGGCAAGATTGTAGGAACTGTGTCAGCAGGAGGATGAATGGAAGTGTGATTACAGTCGGCAAACATACCACGCTGACAGGTGACAATTGAATGTACAACAATAATGTACAACAACTACTTATATCTACACAGTGGAGAAGCAGCCTTGATATGGATCAACGTTGAAATCGAGGCGACACTGACAAGACTTTAGAAACCTGTTGTGCATGCCAAGGTCAACAATGCAGCCAGCCTGCCTATCCGTTGTGGACGATCCTTTGGAGGACCAGGGCCTTGAGTATGTGCAGGAGTACCACGGGTTTTCGTAACCAAATCCCAAGCTCATTTATGTTAACATGTACTGAAACCTGACGTTGAGTATCACCCTTCGAGAGCATCCCAATGTTTCTGGCACGATTTTCAAAACTGCGTCTCATAGTTATCTGCTACTGTTAATTATTTTTGAAATATGTGTCCACAGGTTGCGACAATTCTGATCAGTGTTTACCTGTTTCTTTATAATTTATCCTTCTTCATATATTTGTTTCCATTGTTTCCAAAATGTCAAACATGTTAATCATCATTTGGTGTCGGACGACTTAAGGCTTGGTTATTTTCAGTTTTTGTTTTCGAAAAAGGACGGCTTCAGCGTTCCATGCACATCCATATGGGTTCAAAATTATAATCTTCGAAATTTAGCTACAAAGTCTATCCAACCGTTTAATGTTAACTTATATAATTCCATCAACGCTGCCAGCTTTGTCCCAGAGAGTGTTTACCAGACGCTGGTTGGCTGTAAAAGGGCGGACTGATGAGGCTGAGAAGGTCGTGGATCAGATGAGTCGATACAACAAAAGACAGAAGCCCACCAACACACTGCAGCTGCTGAAACAAGTGGCAGAAGAGGAGCAGAAACTGAGGGCATCTGGCAGCAAGTACACGTACCTTGACATCTACAGGGGCTGGAGCATCTGCTGGAAGTCTCTCGTCATACAGTACATCTGGTGAGTACAGATGTTGATCGGATACGGGAGGGGTTGGATACTATTCTGTTTACCTTGGGATATTGGACACGTTGATTATGTTGAAATGGAGCCAAAATTTCCAAATACTTGTCGTGGTGTGGCATAATTTTGTTCGAAGCAGTTCTATGATAGGCCAGTTTCCTTATATGAGATTGATCTTTCAAAGACACATAGTCGAAAAACTTACATGCCACATCTTCAACATAAGCATCATGATTTTTACAGAACACTTCTCACTTAAATGTAGGTTCAACAGCTACCGTGTTCTGCATACACATGCGAGAACGTTCTCAAACCACCATTAGTTGGCTAGAGGGACAGAGACAAAAGAAACCTTGTCGTGATAATAAGAATTATATAGCATGCAAATTCATTTTTAATAGCATGTTTTAATGTTGCATATGAAATAAAGTTGTAAGTATTTCATTTACGTTTGGGTGTTTGCAGTGTGTGTGCCGTACAATCCTTTCCTACTTGCCTTACTCGGATTCTAAGATGAGGGCAAGTGTCCTCTGACATGAAGAAAATGTGTTGCTTTGTCGGTTAGGTTTTATTAAACGAAATACTAAATATTTTGTCCTGCAGGATCAGTATGTCGCTGGTGTACTTTGGGATATCTTTCGGTGCAGGGAGACTCGCCGGCAACCTGTACCTGAACATCTTCCTTCTGGCAGTGGTGGAGATCCCAGCTTGCATTTTGACGTTCTTCATGAACAACAAGTAAGGGGCATCTATCACAAAGAATTGATGAATGTAATATGTTAAAAATAATGGGGGGTGCAGGTTCAGGGCCTCCAAGACTGCTGAGGCCCACAGTTTGCCGTGAAGATTTATTCTCTGCCAGAATCAGTGGATCTGATTTTTGCTCTGATTATAGTGTTGAGTTGTCTGCACCATACCGATGCCATTGGGTTTCACCAAAGTTGTAAACATCTGGGTCATGCATCACATTTGGCTTTTCCCACATTTAGCAGGCTCACCATGGTATTTCTGAAACACCGTTCACAACAATGTTCGATGAACTTACTCAACCACGAAGTAAACCTTTAAATAAAAGCTGTATTATTTCATGTATCTCATCACACGACCATCCTTCATTAACATTTTGCTAAAAAGTGTTTTAAAAGTACCATTGAAGCTGTATAATGCTACTTTGCAAAACAATCTTCGAAGTTTCCGTTTGAAGTTTTTACTCTCTTAACACCATACACAGCACCCGTAGAAATATGAAGTAATGCCTCTTTGGAAAGTTTAAAATAATACAGACAAATTGACTTACTGTGAGAAGACATCGCCCTATGATGTATAACGATATCCATGGACATAGGTTATTTTTGCATAGACCATGATTTATAATCGTGGTACCGGACAGTTTTTGATCATCCCTTTGTCTTCATTGATATCTTCTTCGTATATATTTATCGACTTGGCAGAAGATGGACGGCTTTCATTTTCTTTGCTGCATCCACTGTTGGTTCCTTTGGTGTTTGCATCGTCGCTAGAAAAGGTGTGTAACCCAACCTATTACTCCGTTAGCACACCCTTCAGCGTAAAAATCTAACTCCATCGAAGTTCGCATCAGCTGAACATTCAGCTAACTTTGAAGGCCCAAACTAAAGGATGGATGAGTTGGTTCTGAAGTAAATCATATCTCAGCTTACTAAGACAAATCACAGTGAACTCTTTAAACCCAGCATAATGGTATTTTAAACTCAACTGTAGCTCACAATTTGATCAAGTTAAGTGTATGCATGATCACAGACCAACGTCCTTGTCGATGACATACTGTAAAATTGGAGCGAGTCCACGTGTTGTAGTCGCAAAAGATGACCAAGGGATCATCATCAACGTCTTAGCAATGGTGACCAAACTCAGTGTTGGTGCAGCTTGGTATGTTATGCAGTTGTTGTCAAGTGAGACGTACCCGACAGTCACAAGGTAAATTGAATTATGGGATCTCCCACCAACGTTTCAAGTTAGAGTACATTACGGTGGCTTATCGAAAAATGTATCGATGTAGTGATGGGAAATATTCCCTTCCACCACAACAAAAAAACATTATGCATGTCATCGTATCAAAATTGCGTGGATCGATACTCATAATATCCATCCTTGGATTGTCTGGTCCAGATTCGATTATTTACCGACCGACGTCATACAGCTGAAATATTGTTGCGTTAAACAACAAACAAACAAACAAACTCATATAGTATTGTACATTCTGCCGGCCTTTCCCAAAGTTAATTTCAGGTCATGATAGGTAAGGACTGGGCGTATCCCCACCTTACAATCCTACAACTGCAAGAAGCAAATATCATTTATTAGCTTGGTACATAGTTGTTTTTACATTTTTGTTTTATCTATTTTTTTTAGAAATTTGGGCTGTGGTGCCGCTAATACTGCAGCTCGCATTGGCGGAATACTTGCTCCATACATCTTTGCAACGGTAGGTTCATTGTGGTGGGATTCATACTTTGGTAGGTTGGCATTCGATGAGACGAGATTGTGAGGCAAACTTGACATGAGAAAGTGTAATGTTGATCTTTGTTCTGATGAACATACTTATTAGGCACGGGCAACGCATTGACCCACACAAGAAACATGCAAACCTGCATTGTCGATGTAAAATGACAGTATACACCGGGATCCCTTTTAAATAAAACAGGATATTTCATGTGTTGGGTGACACTTTTTGTGTTGTTGACTACCGGATTGTTTTTCATTATAAATGCAAATCCCTGAAACGTAAGTTCTCCCCACCAAACACGCAGGGACGTTTCACAAGCCCTTGTAATTACATGTGTCATGACCACACACACACACGATTTCTTGCGTGTCCTAATTATGAACTGAATTCAAATCAACTTTAATACAGCCATGTTTGAAAAGCAGTGCGTATGTGAACTGTTCATTGAAACCTCACTTGAGTATTATGTACAACGTTATGTCCACAGGGAGGAGATGGTGATATCGTTGTGCCATTCGTCATTGTTGGAACGACCATGGCCGCCTGTGGAGTGTTATCCCTGATCCTGAAGGAGACGGGGGGTTAAACCCCTCGCCGACACCATGGGGGACCAAGTAAACTCCTTTTTGGAATGTGAGGATGGTGGTGGCAGCAGCTGACGTGGAAAGGACGAAATTGTCAACACACTGGCACATATAAACCGGCAAAGAGCTTATGGACAGACTTAAAGCTTATGGACAGACTCATAATAAACACATATATAATTTTCCTTATCCAGTGAGGGAGAGAGAGAGTGTTTGTTGTTCAATCTGCACTCCAGCAAAATTCCAGCTACAAGGAGGCAGTCTGAATTTTTTCTGGACCAGACCAATCCAGTGATTGACTTCATGAGCATCGATCCTCACAATAAGGATACGATGACATGCATCAACCAAGTCAGCGAGCCTGACCACCCGACCACGTTAGTCGCCTCTTACCACAAGCACAGCCGCCTTTACGGCAACCATCGATTAATGCAGACCTATTCTAACCTGGATATTTATTGGTTTCCATATCAAGCAATGGCGAAGCAAAGGTTATAGCATATGTTCATCTGAAATAATTGGTCTTTGATTCTTTGAACCTCGATGACTGAATATGACGAAATAAGAAATGTATTCTTATTTATTATTCTCCCATTACAAGGCTTACAGTTGTTTTTTTTCATGTTGTTATATTATGAGTCTTGTTTTCATGAAGATAAAAAGAAGAAAATGTTAATGTTAAATTACCTATTATCAGTAAGTCTTAACTTCTAATCCGATGAAATAAGAAAAGAATAAAGTTTGGAGGTAACTGTTGCAGTAAAACAACAATGTAACATAACAAGGGTATTAAAATGCAAATATCTGTAGAACTATTGAAATGATAATTTATTGTTTACATATATCCTATGTATTTATGTTTCACACACAATAAACTATTGTGCTTGTCAAATTCACATAGTTTCTGGTCATTCACAAATATGGGGAAATTAGATAACTCATTTAGTAACATTTTTGGTGTCATGATGTTAAATATCATGTTCAAAAGAAAAAATGTCCACTGAATAAGTTGTTTTTATATATAATAAAAACACATGTGCTCACCATGTTCAGGAACAACAAAAAAGATGACATGAAATAATCATCATTTTACATATTAAATTATTCACCGTAAAATTAGTTTTAAAGAGGAAAATTCGTTCAAAAATATTACAATCCTTTGATGGATGTGAGAAGAATTACCTTGCAGTAACCCCGATCAGTCCTGCTGACAGTTCCTTGTTTTTTGTTAACAATAGTTCACAATATTTAAGACAATATTTAATTCTCTCCTAATTGGGTTTATAACATTTGTTTCTAGCGGACAAATAAACGAATAACGTATTTACATACACTAAACATGTGGGCCTATTTAGTGTTGCGCATTGAGAATGATAGTCACGGCGAGACAAATGCAAATAAAGTTATTGGCCGAGTAATCCAAAACCATTAACAAATATCAATTCACATTACTCATTCTCAAAACGTTACTTCCATCAGCTTTTAATAGTTTACAAAAAAACAAACCCAAAAACATGAATGCTAACATGTGGCTTGCCTGTCACGGAAAACTCGTGTGGGTTGTCTTTTTACCTGTTTATGGTGCAGTTGTCTCACTGAGCATATTCGAAAACGAGGCTGGAGGAACTCCCGAGTGGTTTCTAAACACGGGAAATCTTCAACTACGAGCTCGACTTTTTATGGCGTATTGTTATGGGAGAAAAAGGATTAACCACTGTGTTCAGTTGTTACCGAAAAATCTACACACGAGTGATTAATCTGTCACGATTAGAACGAGGCTTTGCCAACATTTCACGTGTTTATAAACCCGTGGGGTATTCCGGGTAAGAATATAGGTCTCCAACAATCTATTCTTATGGAAAGAGGTGACGAAATGGATCGGGTAGTCAGGCACGGTGACTTGATTTGTTTATTGTCATTGTATTCCATTTGCTAGGAGCGATGCTCATGATGTCAGCCACTGGACCGGACTGTCGGGCCTGGAAATCGAGGAGCAAAAGAAACTGATCCCCTCAGTTTATTTAAACGTGAATTTGATTCTTAATTTAACATATCTAAAGTTTGCTATGTTGTATCCGAAACTAGAACTGTACTGTTGCTTAGTCAACACTCAAAGAATACTTTCGCACGGTTTTATTTTTCCACATGATTTAACACCTTTATATTTAAAAAAGAACACAGTCGCATAATACACAACTGCTAATGGGTATCTTTTTTCTTTCACATTTGCGTTTTTTCGGCACACATTTACAACATTTCTCCCTGATATTACCGAACTAAAAATATATTTTAAGCCTATATCATACGCACAAATATGTCTCATACAACAAATATGAATAGGATCAATTCATGACCTTCTGGTCTTCATGCCACAACCTCTTTGCATAACCAGACTGTATTGACAAACGTGCCTGTCCAACTGTATTTCATATGTATCACAATAGATTAACTTCAAATACTCACATGGACAAGGGGGCACGGGTGGCCCAGTCGTCTAAGGCGCCGCGATTCGCTGTGCATGGTTGCGTCCCTTGGGCACGCCAGAAACCTATGATTGTGGGTTCGAATCCCGGTTCGCCCCGATTATGTTTCTAGTTTGTCAGCACCATACCCGTGCTCGTGGGTTTCACCGAAGGGGTAAACGTCTGAGACCTGCATCACTTTGGGCTTTCCTCCCACATTAAGCTGACACGCAGTGATATAACTGGAATACTGTTAAAAGCGACGTTAAACCCAACTCACTCACTCACTCACTCAAGGTTCAACAAGCATGTGTACTAGGTGGCGATACTGTTCATATAAATCCACTGCTACTTGCCTATATTCAGGCTGAAATGTTCCTCACAGCACGTGGTAATTAGTCATACTTTCGCGTCCAAGGACAGGGTTTCGTACAACAATGATTTATGTGCATAATTTCGAATTCAGCTATTCACGGTGAATTGACTGCAGTAAAAAGGCAAACACGCCAGTTTCAATCAATAACTTTTATATATAACAACAATGGAAACTAACAAATATATCATATTTTGCAAGAGTCCTATGGTTCACTTTCTTGTTGGTTGATGATTTCAACTTCATTTGGGTTCAGCGCATCCGCAGTGTCGTGACAAGTCCTTCTTGAATGCCTGAAGGTTGTGGACAGCAGGCCACAGAGAGCGCAAGAGAAGAACATCACACCTGATGGAACGAGAGCAGACAATTATAATTATGACACCATGTGTAAATAAATAATTAATTGATAATGATTATAATGATGATGAAGAAGATGATGATGATGATGATGATGAAGATGATGATAGTATCCAGGCCAACAAACCTGATCTTGTTCTTTATGATAAATCCAATGAAATCATTTATATCATTGAATTTTCTGTCCCCGTTGACACTAATGTGATTGACAAGATTGAGGAAAAACATGGCAAATATGCGGACCTCGCTTTTGAAATCACGCTTGCATCCCAAGTACCAAGTTGTTCGACTCCCCATTGTTCTGACTGACATCGGGGGTGTACCCGGGTTTGCTACTAGGACTACAGACCTTCTGACAATCTGGGTAATGCAGAAGGCTGCAGTGTTGGGGAGTCTCCCTCTGTGCTGCTTGTAGAGGGAGCAAGGGCCCCGAGCTGATGATGAGCCTAACCAGCCTGACTGTGCCAGGATCAACCAAACCCTCTTTACTGCATTTTTTATTTTAATCTGTAAAAAGGCGATTGACATTATTTTTGCCCCTGTCATTCTCAGCTCCCTGGAGAGTATACAGCCCAAGCTGCATGTGAGGAGATAGAAGGGCTGGTTGAACGGAGGCATATCTTCAACTAAATCGACGCTTCTGTGGTCTTGTGGTAGAGCGTCGCCCGGAGATCTGAAGGTCAGACGTTCGATCACCGACCGCATCGTACCAGAAGATGGTACTTGTTGTTACCATGTCTTGCGCTCGACATTAAGGGGCTAAAACAAGGACTGGTCGGCTCGGAGTATAGTGTGTTTGAGTGGGGTATCCATGTTAAACTGCGGCATGGTATCTCAGTGTGCTAGCTCTGTAAATCGGCGTCACGTTCGACTACGTTCATCGCCTTTTACTTACTGTTCAATATGACATGGGGGAATAGGGATCGAAATATTTAAAATTGTGTGATCATGTGAGATTAAGGACTGACTGACTTTATTTTACGGAAAAGGAACTTTGATAAAATAACGTCACGGGCTTTGGAAAGCAAAATGGCGGACCCTTCGCAACCGGTGCCTGGTCTTTGTCTTTTGGAGCTGGAATCCAGCATATGGTTTGGAGGAATTCGGTTGCACTTTAGCAACATCATGTGTTCCGTTGCACAAGATGAAGATGCAACCAATGCTGTCCGTAAGAGGCAACTAAATAGATCGGGTGGCCAGGCACCGTGACCTCAGACCCTGATTCTAAGACGGTATGTAAATTCCACATCATTCGAAGTATTTTTATGCATGCCGGACTTTTAAAACGTAGTAGTTTTGTCATTTTCATCTTTGGCTTAACTGGTAAACTATCGCTAGTGACTGAAGGGATGATATAAATCCTGCCGGGGTCAATGCAAGAATCAAAGACACTGTACGCCCCCATGGTCCCTAGTGTGGTGATCGGGGCGGTAGGGTAGCCCAGTGGTTAAAGCGTTCGCTCGTCACGCCGAAGACCCGGGTTCGATTCCTGACATGGGTACAAAGTGTGAAGCCCATTTCTGGTGTCCCCCGTCGTGATATTGCTTGAATATTGCTAAAAGCGGCGTAAAACAATACTCACTCACTCACTAAATATATATGCTATATAGGGGCGGTCGGGTAGCCTAGTGGTTAAAGCGTTCGCTCGTCACGCCGAAGACCCGGGTTCGATTCCTGACATGGGTACAATGTGTGAAGCCCATTTCTGGTGTCCCCCGTCGTGACATTGCTGGAATATTGCTAAAAGCGGCGTAAAACCATACTCATTCACTCACTAAATATGCTATATAGGGGCGGTCGGGTAGCCTAGTGGTTAAAGCGTTCGCTCGTCACGCCGAAGACCAGGGTTCGATTCCTGACATGGGTACAATGTGTCAAGCCCATTTCTGGTGTTCCCCGTCGTGACATTGCTGGCATATTGCTAAAAGCGGCGTAAAACAATACTCACTCACTCAATATATATGCTATATAGGGGCGGTCGGGTAGCCTAGTGGTTACATCGTTCGCTCGTCACGCCGAAGACCAGGGTTCGATTCCTGACATGGGTACAATGTGTGAAGCCCATTTCTGGTGTCCCCCGTCGTGATATTGCTGGCATATTGCTAAAAGCGGCGTAAAACCATACTCACTCACTAAATATGCTATATAGGGGCGGTTGGGTAGCCTAGTGGTTAAAGCGTTCGCTCGTCACGCCGAAGACCCTGGTTCGATTCCCGACATGGGTACAATGTGTGAAGCCCATTTCTGGTGTCGCCCGTCGTGATCTTGCTGGCATATTGCTAAAAGCGGCGTAAAACCATACTCACTCACTCACTCATTATATATGCTATATAGGGGCGGTCGGGTAGCCTAGTGGTTAAAGCGTTCGCTCGTCACGCCGAAGACCCGGGTTCGATTCCCGACATGGGTACAATGTGTGAAGCCCATTTCTGGTGTCGCCCGTTGTGATCTTGCTGGCATATTGCTAAAAGCGGCGTAAAACCATACTCTCTTACTAGTATGGTGATCTCCCTTTAGTTACTGAAGATCTCTAGCCCATTCTTATATTGTGTTGTTAAATCTTTCTGCTTTTACATGTTCCTCAACTGGTATTAAATCGACTCTGTGCTATTCTTGTTATTGTACTGCCCTTTTTTATGACAGGTGTTTATTAAGTCTACATATATGTGTTATTAATTTTTTACTTCTCTTCACGATTTGGTTGAAATATTGCCGGTGTGACGTTAAATATTAACTCACTCACTCGCTCATACACTGACGCTTGGGACATTTCTCATAATATCAATCACTGATTTGTCTTGTACAGATTCCAATATTTATAGACCGTCGGCATATAGCTGAGATATTGTTTGTTTGTTGTTTAAAGACGCACATATGGACCAGACAATCCAGAGATTGACATCATGAACATCAACCACAAATGGACATTTTGACCAGTCAACTCCTTGTCATTACATGCTATGTGGCTTTTATGTTAAGAATCTTACAATCAATACAATATATCATTGGTGCGGAATATGAGTATATCACGCTTGAGATATGCTTATGGTTTCTCAATGGGTGCTTAAAGTTTACACCTATTGATGATGGTGGCTAAAATGAACTAAAAACAAGAAGTGGTTATTCGTTTCAATACCCGTATCAGAGTTATGTTTTGAAATGTTTTACACAAAAAAACGAGGTTCGCAGCACATTCTCAAAACACATGCTATGTGGCTTTTATGTTGAGAATCTTTCTCACGCTTGAGAAATGTTTTTGGTTTCTCAATGGGTGCTTAAAGTTTACATCTATGTTTGATGGTGGCTAAAATGAACTAAAAACAAGAAGTGGTTATTCGATGGTGGTGTTTCAATACAGGAACAGTAAACTACGTTTATAACGAACACGCTTATAACGAACTGTCGGATATAACGAACTTACTTTTTTGTCCCGACAACTTGCTGTAGTTATGCTGTATATATGCTTATAACGAACTACGGTTATAACGAACTAAAATTAGTGGCCCTTTTGAGTTTGTTATAACCGTAGTTTACTGTATCAGAGTTATGTTTTGAAACTTTATTTTGCTGCTGTTTTCAGCCTCATGACGTTTGTAATTTCTTTGTCCAATCCAATTCTCAAGTGCCAACTTTCTTTTTCCAGGCAGTTTAGTTTATATTGTACACTGATGTTGACCATTACTTGCGAAATAAATGTCAAAACGTCAATGCCTGTCATGTATGCGAGAAGATAATGATAATGTAGAATACCATGTTTGAATATTAAAAAAAATACATACTATGTTCCTTGATTCAAATCGACATCCGTCCCAAAACATTGCAGTCAAATACGCCCATGCCACTTATCTTCTACGCTGACATCAAAGAGTTCACGTTAAGTTTAATGAGTAGAAAGGAAATAAATATAATGTACGTGAGATCCCCTATACATCAAGGCTGTAAACTGTACAGGTAACATGACTCTACATTGTAAGGACAATATGTTTATTGCCTTGTTTACTCGTTGGCTGAATTTATTTCCACACATCACTTAAGTTCATTTAAAATATACCTTGTAGGCAGGAATGATTTCGATCTATTACTATATCAGAAAAGTTATAAAACGGGCCTTAGAGAAATTAACGTGATTCGAAATAGTGAAATAAAAAGGTGTAATGCCCCAATAAACGGGCACCTGTGTGGATTAGCTACGCTATACAACGTACCTGCGAATATGTAGACGCCATAATAGACCTTGGCTATTTGGAAGACATATCCTGCAAGATAGAAAGAAGGGTGTTATGTAACGGTGCGTGAACTGAGGAACGGTGTTCCCCCTGTTTAAATATAAAACGTCAACACCAGAGAATTATCAGTCTCGATTATCTGCCGAAACAGATTCCACTGGGCGTAAACAGTTTATATTTGAACACTAAACAGTGATGACACCAGGTGTTCGCCAAAACAACACCGCTTTCATGTTCAATTGTCCAAAGTACAGCCCAGTTGCAAGTACACATGCACTTAACTATTCAAATTATATTTTATAATTGCACTGATGTTTATCTACTATGTGCAGGTTTTACATGACGTAAATGGAAGGTTTTACTGTTGCAATGATTGTCGTGTGACATGACAGGGCAGAATAGCATTGGGGCAAACTACTGAGGGCGTGGCTGATTGTGTGTTATTGTGTCCGTATGATGCATGTTGTTGCATATGCTATCAAGCACTGATTTACCGTACCAGATTAGATTATTAAATAAATACATTTACACCATAATATAGCTGAAATATTGCTGACAGTGCCTTAACAACAACACTCATTCCTTTTTTGAAAGGCATTTAGAAGTTGGAGTACTAAGTAAGGATACGAATTTATGGATGAACAACTTCTTTATTACAATTAGGTCACTAGCTTGATAACGGTGTTAGAACCTACACCGAAACGTCGCTCTTAATTGTAATAAAGACGTTGTTCATCCATAAATTCTTATCCTTACTTAACTCATTGGGGCGGTCGGGTAAAAAAGTGGTTAAAGCGTTCGCGCGTCACGCCGAAGACCCGGGTTCGATTCCCGACATGGGTACAATGTGTGAAGCCCATTTCTGGTGATATTGATGGAATATTGTTAAAAGCGGCGTAAAACCATACCCACTCACAATACTTTACTCATTCCTCATTTATCAACTGGCTCGCAACCAATACCTGCTAAAGGCGGACCAATGAGAAATCCGAAGCCACAAGAACCCATTACAGCTCCAAAACCGGTTGCCACGAGATCCATTCCAAGAATTTCATATGTGATGGGATTAAACAGTGCCCAGCTGCTACCGTTGTAGAGTCCAAGGAAGAAGCCGTACACACACACTGTTGCTGAGGTTGATGTGAATAAGGGGATGAGGAACGATAACACCCCCATGAGGCCGTTCAGGGAAGCAAATATCAGTCCACTGCCAATGTTTGGATCTTGTGCTGCAAATCCCGTGAGAACACGCGAGACAACGCCGCCTACACCCGAAGTTGAAACGCTGAAAGATGCTGCTTGAACAGATATCCCTTGTTTCCGTAGAAAATCTGGGAGGTACAAATACATAGCTGATGAGCCCATGCCGAAAGTAAAACTACACATAAGAAAGAACAGAAACGATTTGTTCCTGAAAACTTTGGCATAACCAGAACAATCTTCCCACAACGTCTTGACCAGCGTCAGACGTGTTGGTCTTCCACTGAAAACCTTGGCGCGACGTTCCCTCTCGAATCTGGTCGGTTTCATGAGCATCCCACAGACACATGAATGGAACGCTATTGCTCCCACGATGAGGAATGCTTGGTGCAGCCCAAATGTATCTATGAGGAACTGGCATAAAGGTGGATGGGCAAACAAACCAACGGCCATCCCACACACGACGATGCCGCAAGCTAGACTCATATTGTCTGAAAAATGGTATCCGAGGACAACTATAGCACCCGTGTGAGCCAGGCTGGTTCCAACTCCTGAAAAAACAACAACACACGCTTCAGGTCCTATATAGAATACCCAATATAATAATATTTTACAGTAACGAGAGCTTTGCGACCAAAACAGTTGTAACTCAATGACTGTTCTGTTGATGTCGCAAAACACGAGGTAATTCACAGCAAAAAAAATGCAGTTTCCGGTATCCGGATACCTGCCGGATACCACCGGACACTTACCCAAAACGCGTCTGGGTATCCGGTGGCAGATACCTTGCCGGATACCAGATCCGTGGTATCCGGCATGGACACCTCACCTGAAAGTATGCCACCTGGAATCCGGGTATCCGGCACCGGATACCTCACCGGATACCTCAATCTGGGTGTCCAAGGATCCGCACCGGATACCAAGAATCCGGCACCGGATACCTCATTCTGAGTTTCCAAAAACATGTCACAATTTGGGGGTGCATTTTGTTCAATTCAGTGTGAAACACCTAAATATATATTGGAAACTAACCATGAAAATTGAACATTGCTGAAGGTATCCGGCAGGTATCAGGCAGGTATCCGGATGCAATTTTTCGAGATGTCTTATTTCTGGTAAATAATGTTAGCCTGGGCATATCAGATAGCTGTAGTAATATTCTGTGTCATTTTAGTTGTAAATATCCCCTTAAAGTTGAGATCTATGGGCATGTACTTTTGGAGAAGACAATTTTTTTCAATTTCATCTATAATTCTTTTTAGATGTTAAGCTGTTTAATGCACAAACATCAGTTCTAATACATGTATGATGATATCCTTAAATTTCATGTTCAGACTTCCAGATTATTCTGAGTGAAAGTATAAACTCATCGACTGTGTGCTCACTTGGGCCTTTGGTCCTAGTGAGATGATAATATGATTATTTGTAAAGGTACAAGTACTTGTTATGAGCATACCAGCTTCATTTAAGTTTGAAACACAATATGCCTCACTCTGAGGGTGACATGTACCAGATTTCATCACACTACAGAGAGCTGTTCCTCAGTTACTGAACATTTTTACTGAAAGACATTGAAAGCTAATTTGACCTTCAATATCAGTTGCGACTATTTCAAAAACAATTGTAAAGCGCTTCATTCAGTGTAATATTGACAAACATATGACAATGATATACAACTATATGTATAAGAGTTATTTAGACTTCTGCAGGAAAAGGCACATTAGAGAACAAGAGTCATCAGAAAGATGACATATCCCCCCGGCAGCTGTCTGTAAAGTAACCACTAGTGCAATTCTGTATGTAATGAGTCAACAGTTGAATGTTCTTTAAGAAGCATACATTGTTTACCCAAAAAAGATCCACCATGGTCGCATCCATATGAATGCCAAGTTTCGATCAAATACATTTAATGTTTTTCGAATTCTGCCCCAGAAATGAACCTCATCCCCAATTGAGTCTATGTCCAACTTCATTCCATAAAAAAATAAAAAAATAAAAAATTAGAAAATTCCCAAATTTGAAAGGCACCACTTCAGTATGTGCATGATAGCTTTGCCAAGTTTCGATCAAATACACTGAATGGTTTTCGAATTCTGCCCCGGAAACGAACCCCATCCCCAATTGAGTCTATGTCCAACTTCATTCCATAAAAATTTAAAAAAATAAAAATTAGAAAAATCCCAAAATATCAAAAGGCACCACTTCAGTATGTGCCTGATAAGAGTTGCCAAGTTTCGATCAAATACACTGAATGGTTTGGGAATCCTGCCCCGGAAAAGGAAATGATTACGGACGGACAGACAGGCTGATCACTATATCCCCCGTATTATATGCCGGGGGATAAAAAGTAAGTGTATGACCTGTTGCCAACTTCTATCCCTGCCCTAAGGAAGAGTTTGGCCATTAACAATTTTTTTGTCTGGCTGTGACATTGACCTTTGACATAGCAGATCAATGTGTTATTCCAAAGATGTCCAAGCAATGCAGTGTTTCATACGATAACTGTGGCTATCAAACTGAGGCAAAATATTGGAAAATCCCCATTTACACAGCTGGCTAAAGAAACAAACAACAAACAAATTATTAATTTCTTTTATTTATATGCATATATCACACATTGAACAGTGTTCACATAATGGTTCCTGATGCAGTATGCACTTTCCTCCTATTCTTCAATACTCATAACAGAGCGGGATAACTGTTCGCTTGAAAGCATCAGCAGACCATGCTCACCAGTTCAGAGTTACTTGCCCTCAAACATCCTTTTCCTTCTATACTGCCCTGGAAAAACAGGAACTAGGATGAGGGGAGGCCAGATGGGCTCTATCCCTGTTGCATTGTGTTAGTAGAATTGTGAACATTCTATTTGGTGTTTTGGTCCACATTTATAGACAAGTAGTCGCAAACATCATTCCTTTCAAGTGATTACCACATGGCCAAAGACAATAATTTCTTCAACGTCCTTGAAGGGTCCCACTCCGACTTGGCATTGGTTGGTCTTCTCACATTAGCCTGACCACCCTTTGTGAGTGTGTCCCAGTGCCAATTGGCATATAACTTCTCGGTAGGCTCCCATTGAAATAACAGGACTCTCCTCATCGCTGTCTGCCAATCACTTCGGATATCTGGAAGGGTCCTTCCAGACTGTCAACCTGTCATCCGGGTATCTCAAGCTGGACTTCAGTTTCTGCAAAATTATGTATAAAGATTGTAGCAAAAGAAAAGAATTGTTGCAACATGTACTTACAGATAAAAGGCAGCAAATTCACTTAATTTATCATCTTTGAGTTTTGTTATATACCAAACATTTGAGATATATATTGTTCCATGCTGATGAGTTGAAACAATCATTAACTGACATCTCTTAAAAATGTTCCTAGCAACCTATGCTTGCCATACAAGCCAAAGTAATAGATGAGGTAGCAAGTGGGCTCATTGAAAGCTCGTAATCGTACCCAATAACGTGGGATGTTGTCCATAACAGTCATCATCGGTGCGTCTGGATTGAGCTCATAACATTAATCTCTGGTTTGTCTAGTTGAGAAGTGAGATTTGATTAATCTATAATCCTTGTCATTTAGCCGAACTATTGCTGGATGTGGTGTTAAATGAGTGAATTGGGTTTAACGCCTCTTTGAACAGTATTCCAGTTATATCACGGCATGTAAGCTTGATGTGGGAAGAAAGCCCGAAGTGATGCAGGTCTTACATGTTTACCACTTTGATGAAACCCACAAGCAAGTGTATGATGCTACCCTCGATTCAAACCCACGACCATCGGTTTCTGTCAAGCCCAAGAGATGCAACTATGCACAGCAAGTTGTAGTGCCTTTGATAATTAGGCCATCCATGCCAACAGGTGATACAGAACAAGCAAACTGAAGAAATATTTGCAGAATAGCTACATGAACATGATGAACCAAACAGAATAATTTCAAATATTTACCACTCACTGCTACTCTTCTCTTGTTCCTCATTGCTTCCCTTTTTCCATTGATGCCGTGCAGATGACTGACTCATTCATTCATCCAGACATTCTGCAAACATAAGTAGCATTCACATTACAGAAATGTCCAAACTGTACATGCTGTACATTGAATTCAATTGAAAAGGCCCCAGTTGAGTTTCCAACTTAGAACTGTCCTTATTAAAATATTTCATCCCAAACATTCAGAGATAAAACATAACCCCATATTTAACAACTGTCAAACAATTATTTGACAACAAAGCCAGGGTCATTCAACATACACTTTACATAAGGAATCACTTGTTGCAAAAAGGATCCTCGCCAAGGTCAGAGTCATTCCATGAAATATTGAATGATTAAGTTATGAAGCTTATACAAAACAAGGACATAACAGTGTAATTATAACAATATCCTTAGCGTAAAAAAAATAAAGTCTTTGGTGGCCATTATTGTAAATTATAATCTGTATGAGCATCCCACGAAAGTTTAGAGTTAATAATCGTTCCTAGATCTTGATATTTTTCTTCATTATCTATAAAAAAGCGGATCTAATTTGGATCATCTTGTTTTGACCACAAATCCATTACGCCCCTTATGCTAACAAACAGTTGACCATAATACTAAAAAAAGGACCCTTGGCGTTTACGGTAAAGTACGTAGAGCAGGAAAATATCTACATCAATCCGTTCCATAAGATCTCTGCACAGAAATCATAAGGCCTCGAAGCACTGCTACGTACCTGGCAATGCCAATCGCCTTTCCAAATACTGTTGACTTCCGCGTTGTGGATGGCTGAGAGGAACTTCGGCCGGCATTTCCGTGGTGGAGGTGAATGAGAACAATGTATCGATACACGAGGTAAGCTTATCGTAATCAAGCATCACAGTGTATATCGATACACGAGGTTTGTTTACATCCATGTTCTAAAATGGCGCCCTGGACCGTAGGGGAATATGGGTAAAATGGCTTGTTCCGGGTTAACACTAAGCTGGGCCCCGTCTCTAATATCACATTATTGTTTGGCGCAAGTTGACGACGCGCATAGGGAGCCGGGAACCAGGTTAACACGGCATAAGCTGGTTCCCGGCTCTCTATGCGCGTCGTCAACTTGCGCCAAGTTATATTAGAGACGAGGCCCAGCTTATACACTGAACACGATCGGTCATTTCGTCAAAACTGGCCAAATATTGAGATTGCAGCTGAGGTCATGCTGGCAGCTGAAGTGACACATTAAGGTAAGGAATATGTGAATGTTACAATGATCACGTATTAAAGTAATTTACCACATGTAAGCCTGTCACATGTGACACATTAACTTTTATAGCCAACATGTAAGTAAATGTATAATTATATTTTTATATGACAAGTAGCCTGTCTATCATATGTTAGTATTTGCTTATGTATATAATGTAGAAATATGTTTACTTTAACTGGATAATCTGTATGCTAATGTGACTCACTGTCTTATTCCATATACTCCCTGTACTCTGTGAGAATGATTAATAGCCTCAACATATTTTTCCAGATGTGAAGAATCAAGAACAGCTTTAATAACAGGGAAGTTTTGCATCAGAGATCATCGTGAAGTGGAAGATAAGACATTTTAAGGGTATGAACATTTTCACTTGAACTAGTTGAACAATAACCATGATGACAACTTTATCATGGGGGAATTTTTGGTGGTGGGGTAGCCTAGCGGTTGAAGCGTTCACTCTTTGTGCTGAAGAACCAGGTTTGATTCCTGCCACATAGCTGCGATATTGCTGAGTGTGGCGTTAAACATCAAACAAAGCTAACAGCCGCATACTTACTCACGTGGGGATTCCAGGTTGAAGTTAGTCCCTATCAACATGATCAACCTATGCTAGTTGTGAGAGATAACTTAATGGATCGGGTGATCAGGCTCCCTGACTTGGTTGATCCATGTCATTGTATCCCAATTGTGTGGATCGATGCTCATGATGTCAATCACTGGATAGACTGATCCAGACTTGATTATTTACAGACCGCCGTCATATAGCTGGAATATGGCTGAGTGCAGAGTTAAACAACAAACACCAACATGATTCTACAACCTGCTCTTGTGGATACCATTTTGAAGATCCTACACATAACTTCTTTTCGGGTCTTAACTATTGCAATATGTTCTACTACATGTGTTTTAAACATATATTTTTTTTATAGTGAACTGGATTTGCAAACAAGCCGATGGCTTATCTAAATGATGCTGAAATACAAAATAAGTATTAATAAAATACTAATTCTATACTATTGCAAACTATCAGTTGAGCAATAATGTAATCATCTGATTATAAGTAGATAATGAAGGAGAAGTCCATATTGATTAAATCTACCAGATTCTGAGAAAAATGCACGTATTGATTGATTTATTTCAATGTTTTCCTGTACATAAGTTTCAACAATTCCATATAAAGCTTTCTTATATCATATCCATGCTGTATAATAATACCTATTATTTCTAATAATAGCATAATCTGGACACACAAATAAGTAATGAATGGTATTTTTATAACAGGTCCCACACATGCGGGATAGGTCATTTGACATGAATCAGTTTTATGTGAATTTAAATCACTACAAGCTGATCTGAGTCATGAAAGGATATGCCTTCGATTCTGTGAAAATGGAAATGCTAAAACATCTCCAAATATTAACCATGCTATTACAGAATTTGTTCACTTGTTTTTGTATGTAAAATATTTTTGAACGATTACATCCATCTAATGATTGTTTGTATGTGTGATATGCCAGTAGAGGTATATGTGTACAAGCATGTGCATACACGTAAAAAAATTATGTTTGTTTGGCTAGGTACCAGTATATGAATAGGTTGTTTTGTGCGACTTGTATATTAGCATCATCATAGTTTCAACAGACAGTTTATGTATATCAAATGTTAAATGTCTTTGTAGGGAGAATTGCATATCAAAACTGTCATTATTTTATTACTTATGAGTAGAACTTTTTAAGTATCTGGCATGATACATTTCCTTGGTCCACAGACACATGTTACCAGTAAACTGACTTGATAAGTAGCATAACAGTCAGTGTGGTTGGAAACTAACTAAGCCGTCACTACTCAATTAAGTAATTAACAGACAATTGCAAGTGATAATACCGACCTGACACTAATTGCCCTGTTAATCCCTAATCCACCATGAGTTGACATTGAGCTCATCTTGCTAATGAGCTGTTGTGAGCGTAACGAGATGATAAACATCAAAGGTGGGGCAGGCTTTGATCAAGTGTTCTGTAGAAGAGATTATGTCACTTGTTTAATGTTTATTTAGGATTAGCTACATCCCTTGATGCGACCAAGACCATACTTGAGATTATCAGACAGTTTGTCTGGATACAACCTGATGTCTCAACTGTACTTATTGGATTCTGCCTTGTAGCAAACTATGTGTGTGACAAGGACTTTGACCACTCTGTGCAGATGCGTAACAATGCATAATGAACTTGGGGTATGATTCAATTATGTCACACAAGTCAAAGATAGGTTCCACTGTATTAAGAAACAGACGATAGATGCAATACTGTGTAATTTTATAACAATCAAATGAGTATTCAAATAGGAATACACATATATTTACAATTACCCTTGAAAAGTTCCAAAACCAAATAGAACTACTTAAATTATGATTACACTTGACCAATATATTTGGCAGTTTTTGCCGTTATTGTAAATCTTAATTAAAGATAGGATAAATGATAAAAATATGATAATGCATATCACACACAAGTGTGTATTATACGCAAATAAATAAGTCTTGTATAAATAGATTAATTGGAAAGGGTGCTAATTGGGATTGTTCACTAGCCAATATATTAGCAAATATTCCCATGGGCGCTTATTAGAGCGAGGCGCGTATTACGTCAAATACTTTAGTTCTGTTTTTATGTATAAGAACCTACTTTATGCAATTTGCATTGCCTTGTTTACCTTTCCTTATGTTTTGATGTAATGCAAACATTTGAGAAAAATTCAGGTGAGCCTGCCTTATGGCACTACAGGAATTGTTTTCAATTACAATTTTGTATTTTCTGTAAAATTTACTGTTTGCTATGGCTTTTTTACATTGGTTAACATGGTTTGGTTAACAGTTGCTTGATAAATTGTCATTACCTTACTCATTGAGAAACCAACTTTTTACCCTTTGTCAATATATGTGTGTTTCTTATATTTTTAATAACAAGCTTTTAAAGATGTTATAAATTGTTTCAGGCACCTGAATTTCACAATGACACCAGATCAGACAAGTCATACAAAGGACTCTCCGGATGATGAATAATCCTCCCCAGAACAACTAACAGGTTCACCTCAGAAAGTGATGATTCTGAATGAATAATGCCACATCAGTGTGATTCTGTAGGTTGTTTTATTACGACATTAATCAAGTCTAAAGGAATTAATACCACAGCAGTGAGACTGTTTATGTGGTGTACACTGAAGCTGACTATACAAATCTGAATGACTTTTGTGGTTTACTGCACAAACATAATTGACTTTAGATATTCTTCTACCTTGAAATTCTTCTGAGATTTGACTAATTTGTTTATTTAGAAAATGGCATTGAAGCATCTGTTTCTGTTTTTGAATGTTCTTGCAAACACCTCTGGTTACTGAACCAATGAAATGTCATAAAATCAATAAATATGATTTTTTATCTTAACAAATTTTTTGTTTTGCTTCTTTAAAGAAATATGATATTGATCATTCATAACATAGGTGCTAACATATATCAAATATACTAATGCCCTGAATGTTTTCCTACAATTAATACAGCTCACTGAACAAAGTTTTTAGTTCCATGTCAGTAGAAAAGTTACATTGATATTTTTATGTACCAGTACTTTATTAGGTGTTTTCTGTGGATGCCATTAGTCTTATGCACCCATTTGGGTTAATGATATTCTGTTTCGAACGTCAATGAAACTCGTCTGTCAAGATGTAACAAGTATTGATACAATTCCAAAATAAACTTTTAATCTCATCAGGAACAAAGGCCCAAGTGAGCACATAGCCAATGACTTTCATTTTTTTGTCAGAGTGAGTATGGTGTTATGCCACTTTATGAGCAAAATTCAAACAATATCATGATGGGTGACACCAAGCAATGTACCGATGTGGTGAATCGAATGCTTCAACCACTAGGCTAGAACAAACTGGGAATATGAAGATGAAATGTAAGGATACCATCATACCAGGACTGAATGCTTTTCATTTAATACGCTGAACATCTAAATTGAAATATATATGAACTTGAAAAATGTTTTCACCAAAAGTACATGCCCATAGATCTCAACTTCAAGGGGATATTTACAACTAAAATAGCACAGCATATTACTACAGCTATCTGCTATGCCCAGGCTAACATTATTTACTAGGAGAAAGACATTTCGAAAAATTGCATCCGGATACCTGCCGGATACCTGCCGGATACCTTCAGCAATGTTCAATTGTCATGGTTAGTTTCCAATATATTTTTAGGTGTTTCACACTTAATTGAACAAAATGCACCCCCAAATTGTGACATGTTTTTGGAAACTCAGAATGAGGTATCCGGTGCCGGATTCTTGGTATCCGGTGCGGATCCTTGGACACCCAGATTGAGGTATCCGGTGAGGTATCCGGTGCCGGATACCCGGATTCCAGGTGGCATACTTTCAGGTGAGGTGTCCATGCCGGATACCACGGATCTGGTATCCGGCAAGGTATCTGCCACCGGATACCCGGACGCGTTTTGGGTAAGTGTCCGGTGGTATCCGGCAGGTATCCGGATACCGGAAACTGCATATTTTTTTGCTGTGATTCCTAAGGGTCATCTTTCAAAGAAAGATTATTCCAGAACATTGTACTCTCGCTAAACGACAGCCTCAATGGTCCAGTGGTAGAGCGACCGCCCGGAGAGCGAAAGGTCCGGGGTTCTATCCCCGGGTGCATCATACCAAAATACGTTAAAAGATGGTACATGTTACCCTGTCTGGCGCTCGACATTAAGGTCAAGGTCTTGTCGGCTCGATATATGTCGGCTTGTCTGAGAGGATATTCATGTTAAACTGCGGCATTGTATCTCTGTGGGGTAGCACTTTAAAATTCGCATTTGTCCGGTCGAGTACAAGTAGACACACACACCCACACTCACACACACGTGCATACACATCGCCACATAAGTGCAATGATATTGGACGCAAGGTTAAACCTCGCCTCGCCTCGCCTCGCCACGCCTCGCCTCGCCTCGCCTCGCCTCGCCTCGCCTCGCCTCGCCTCACCTCACCTCACCTCACCTCGCCTCACCTCACCTCACCTCACCTCACCTCACCTCACCTCACCTCACCTCACCTCACCTCACCTCACCTCACCTCACGCTATACCTACCTGCAAGAAGGGCATATGTTATGAATAGCCACTTGATATCATCTACAAATGCATTAGCAGAGAAACCAACAAGGCCGAGGACTCCAGATATCACGACACAGGTGCGACAGTCTGTTACGTTGATGATGAAACTTGCAAGTGGACCTATAATAAACATAAGAAAATAGAACATGTCTTAAATGTCTCTCTCTCTCTCTCTCTCTCTCTCTCTCTCTCTCTCTCTCTCTCTCTCTCTCTCTCTCTCTCTCTCTCTCTCTCTCTCTCTCTCTCTCACATGTATAATATTGGTGATATTGAAATGTATCAGTTTTTGTTGGTTTGTAAATCTTGATACACTCAACCATCGTCATGCTCTGAATGTTCCGTCAATCCTGCAGTATAATATCGCATATGATTAGGGCTTCATGTTTCATTAATGAGCTTTGTCACTGTTCAGTCATGGTTGAAAGAACACTGATAGTTGAGTTTGATCAGTCATGATTATACAAATTATAGAAATAGATATACAAAAGTATGTATGTAAATGTAAAAAATCAATTAAACATCTGCAACATCAAATGATTACCTCTGTTATGTAAATGCTAGAACGAACATTAGGCTTTGGTGCAGTCACTCGCAGGGCACACACTGTTTACGCGCATACACACACGCGCACGCTCAAACGCACAAACACACACACACACACACACTCCGAGAGTATTAGTGAGTGAGTTTAGTTTCAAGCCGCTTTGAACAGTGTTCCATTGGTATCACCATGTGCCAGCCTAATGGGGGAGGAAAGCTCGAAGTGATGAAGGTCTCAGATGTTCACGGCTTTGGTGAAACCTCACGATCTGAAAAACCAAAGACATAACCAGGGCGAATCGGGATTCGAACCCACTATCACAGGTTTCTGGCTTGCACAACGAATTGCAGCGCCGTAGACTAGATCACCCGTTGCTTGTCGTGAGAGTTGACTGACGGGATAGAGTGGTCCGACTGGCTGACTTTGTTGATGCATGTTATCGTATCCCAATTGCGTAGAGCGATGGTCATGATGTCAACCACTGAATTGTCCGGTTCCGACTCGTTTATATACAGACCACCTTCATGTAGCTGAAATGTTATTGAGTGCGATGTTGACAAACAAACAAACAAACAAATGCCAGACAAACCTGCAAGACATGACATGCTAAAGAATAGAGATCCGAGCCAGACTGTCACATCAACGTCAGCGTGGTACGTCTCCAGTAACGCCACATGGAGCACACCCGAGGCGTAAGTTAAACTTGCGTTGAAGAACAGCGTCAGGAATGACACTGTAATGACGATGACGAAATGCCAGTCCTTTTTATGGACCATCTTGAACTCAACGCTCCCACCTGAAACATCAAACTGTCAAGTTGAGTATCACAAGTATAAGACTAGGTTAGAATATGTTCCAAATACATATTGATTGTTGTAAAAAGGCAACAACATTGTCGTTCAGGGAAGGTGAAATGGTTGATTACATGTCATCGTTCTCTTTGGGACTTTCACAAGAAAAAATACCCATATATACAAAATATACAATTTTGTATATTTGATATTTCCAAAATATACAATTTTGTATAGTTGGTATTTCCAAAACTATACAATTTTGTATATATGGTTAGATTTTACCACTGCTTCATTGAATTTCTTCACCCCTTATAGAAGGTTTCATATTATATGTGGTTGCAAAGTTTACTAATGATACCGAACAGTATTATTATTGCATTTGACAATAATGCTTTAATACTATTTTCATTATGACAACTATATGCTGTTATGAAATAATTTGTATTTCGTTATGTTTTCACATATCTAGATGCTCGTCAACCCGTAGTCCCAGAAAACGATATGATTCTACATAGACCAGTGTTTGCCCAGCGTAGAGGAATGAAACCGATGATCTGGGTTGTGATTTCTAAAATGAATTACGTTTGTCTTATTCATATTCACTGACAGTTGCCAACGTGTTGACCATTCATGCAGTACATTAAGCATTGATTGTAATGAACATTCATTGGGGGCAGTTAATGCAATATCGGCAGCATACATTAAAATGGAGAGCATAGTCTCATCAACAAGTACGCCACAATTGAGATTGTTAATAGCCAGGTCGTTAACATACACAGAAAATATAGCTGGGGATAATTTACAGCCTTGCTTTACACCATGTTAAACAGTAAAACGTACTGTAAGAAATTCTCCTACACGTGCAGTACAATTGACATCGACATACAATCGACTGGGTAGCATTCAATATCTTTCCTCGAACTCCAATATTCCTCAGCTTCGCTATAAACGGTGTCGAAGTTTTTTTTTACATCAACAAATGTAACAAAGGTTGATTGTTTTGTTTTTTTCTATACTGAACTAAAGACGTTTAAACCTATTAATGATCAATACAGTCTCATTTGGATCTAAAAACCATTTTGCTTATCAGCTATGATATTGTCCTTTTCAAGCCAATCAGTCTTTAATTGAGTACATAAGCATATACTTGTTAGGAATAAATGTTTCAATGATACCAAAGGGTTTCTAAAATCCTTCATACCGCTCTTAGGAATAGGATGGATATATCGCTGTTCCACATAGCTGGTACAGTTCCATTTACAAAGCAATAGTTAATAATTCTGTACAACAAATCAACTGAACTTACATTTTTTTAACACTTCGGCAGGAATATCATCCACACCTGTAGCCTTTCCATTCTTAAGTCTAAAGACTAAAGACTAATGGGATGTCTGGGAGTGAACCTTACATGTTTATCATTTATCCCATCCATTTCTTGAACTAGCTACTCCGAATTGAGCCATAATTCATTCACCACACTCCTAAGGGGAAATTCAAACATATACACCTATAATTCATGACTACTGCAATCTTGTCAAATAAAATGTGCTTGACATCAGGTCGATTTTATTGATATCTTGTAATGACTGTTGGAATATTATCTATGCATTATCCTGTCTAAAAATCTAGATATATTTACAATATCATGTATGCATTTTTGAATCATTGTATTCCGGAGTGGTCTTCATATAAACTTCTTGACCAATCCGCTTCATGTACATTTTCAGAAAAACAGAACATAACATGGGAATACCGTTCGAATTGAGCCTCGCTTTTCCCTGTGCGCTGTGATTTTTTATTTATTTTTTTTAAATGAAAATTTTACAGGGACTAGCTGTGCTACCACAATACTTGTGTTAATTAATATTGATAACATTGAATGTTAAACCATTTTTACAGTTTTGTCTAATTTTAGCGATAATGAAAACTGAGTAGAGATAAGATATATTGATGAACAACGTCTTTATTTCAGTAAGGAGCGACGCTTAGGTGTATGTTGTAACACCATTATCAAGCAAGTGATGTTATTCATCCACAGATCTTATCCTCTCTCAAAACTTCTAAATTCCTCGCAAAGAAGATAATGATACTTGTTTTGAATCTTGCCATCGTACAAAATATTCTTCGCACAGTATTCAAGAAACAATGTAATATTAATATCATATTACGCCATCAATATATGTTGTGCAATATTTGAGAGGTTGGCGCCTGTCGGGACGGTGTGAGATGCTAAAACTGTTCTTGTATAGTCTAGTATCCTTTGGCTAGTGACAGCTACCACCGTATTTTTATTACGGAACTTATAGCTTTGTGTGGCATAAACGAACAAATAGTAAGATGACTACAATTAAAGGGCATAAATAACGAGAGGCTGTTCACATATATGTGCATCATATATGTATCACGCGAATCATTTCTGATTTTACTCGACGTAAGAGCTAGAAACGTTACCTACTTCCGACGCAGCGGTTCAAGATTTTGGCGCTATCTGGAAAAGACATTCCGTGGTGCCCTCACATCAATGCATTCACCTTACAGCTATCCGTAGTGCATTCACATCAATGTATTCACCTTACAGCTCTCCGTGGTGCCTTCACATCAATGTATTCACTATACAGCTCTCTGTGGTGCCTTCACATCAATGTATTCACCATACAGCTCTCCGCGGTGCCTTCACATCAAGGTATTCACTATGCAGCTCTCCGTGGTGCCTTCACATCAATATATTCACCTTACAGCTCTCCGTGGTGCCTTCACATCAATGTATTCACCATACAGCTCCCCGTGGTGCCTTCACATCAATGTATTCACCATACAGCTCTCCGCGGTGCCTTCACATCAATGTATTCACTATGCAGCTCTCCGTGGTGCCTTCACATCAATATATTCACCTTACAGCTCTCCGTGGTGCCTTCACATCAATGTATTCACCATACAGCTCTCCGTGGTGCCTTCACATCAATGTATTCACCATACAGCTCCCCGTGGTGCCTTCTCATCAATATATTTAACATACAACTCTCCGTGGTGCCTTCACATCAATGTTTTCATCATACACCTCTCCGCGGTGCCTTCACATCAATGTATTCAACATACAACTCTCCGTGGTGCCTTCACATCAATGTTTTCACCATACACCTCTCCGTGGTGCATTCACATCAATGTATTCAACATACACCTCTCCATGGTGCCTTCACATCAATTTAATCATTATGTAGCTCTCCGTGGTGCCTTTACATCAATGTATTCGCGGTACAGCTCTCTGGGTTGCTTTCACATCAATGTATTCACCATACAGCTCTCCGCGGTGCCTTCACATCAATGTATTCACTATGCAGCTCTCCGTGGTACCTTCACATCAATATATTCACTATGCAGCTCTCCATGGTGCCTTCACATCAATATATTCACAATACAGCTCTCCGTGGTGCCTTCACATCAATGTATTCACCATACAGCTCCCCGTGGTGCCTTCACATCAATGTATTTAACATACAACTCTCCGTGGTGCCTTCACATCAATGTTTTCACCATACACCTCTCCGTGGTGCCTTCACATCAATGTATTCAACATACACCTCTCCATGGTGCCTTCACATCAATTTATTCATTATGTAGCTCTCCGTGGTGCCTTTACAGCAATGTATTCGCGGTACAGCTCTCTGGGTTGCTTTCACATCAATGTATTCACCATACAGCTCTCCGTGGTGCCTTCACATCCATGTATTCACCATGCACCTCTCCATGGTGCCTTCACATCAATTTATTCATTATGTAGCTCTCCATGCTGACTTCACATCAAGCAATTCACCATACAGCTCTCCGTGGTGCCTTCACATCAATGTATTCGCCACTCAGAACTCCGTGGTGCCTTCACATCAATGTATTCATAATAAAGCTCTCCGTGATGCCTTCATATCAATTTATTCACGATGTAGCTCTCCGTGGTGCCTTTACATCAATGTTTTCGCGGTACAGCTCTCTGGGGTGCTTTCACATCAATGTATTCACCGTACAGCTCTCCGTGGTGCCTTCACATCCTTGTATTCATTATGTAGCTCTCCATGCTGACTTCACATCAAGTAATTCACCATACAGCTCTCCGTGGTGCCTTCACATCAATTTATTCACCATTCAGCTCTCTGTGGTGCCTTCACATCAATGTATTCACCATACAGCTCTCCGTGGTGCCTTCACATGATTGTATTCACCATACAGCTCTCCGTGGGGCCTTCACAGCAATATATTCAACATGCAGCTCTCCGTGGTGCCTTCACATCAATGTGTTCACCATACATCTCCCCGTGGGGCCTTCGCATCAATGTATTCAACATACAGCTCCCAGTCGTGCCTTCACATCAATAAATTCACAATGCAGCTCTCCGCGATGCCTTCACATCAATATATTCACCATACAGCTCTCCAAGGGGCCTTCACATCAATATATTCACCATACAGCTCTCTGTGGTGCCTTCTCATCAATGTATTCAACATACAGTTCTCCGTGGTGCCTTCATATCAATGTATTCACCATACAGCACTTCGTGGTGCCTTCACATCAATGTATTCAACATACAGCTCTCCGTGGTGCCTTCACATCAATATATTCAAAATACAGCACTCCGTGGTGCCTTCGAATCAATGTGTTTGCCATTCAGCACTTCGTGGTGCCTTCACATCAATGTATTCAACATACAGCTCTCCGTGGTGCCTTCACATCAATGTATTCAACATACAACTCTCCGTGGTGCCTTCACATCAATGTATTCATAATAAAGCTCTCCGTGATGCCTTCATATCAATGTATTCACCATACAGCTCTCCGCAGTTCCTTCACATCAATAAATTCACCATACAACTCTCCTTGATGCCTTCACATCAATGTATTCAGAATGCAGCTCTCTGTGATGCCTTCATATCAATGTAT